TCGAAATTATATTTGTCCTACATCCAATAAAATTTTTCGGTTTTCTGTGAAAGATCTACTTATTTTTTTTTCTTTTCTTTGTACGGATTCGTAATCCAAGTGACTTCCATATTCTTACGTCATGTTTGATTTTACAAGTACCTATTACTTAAAACTGAAGTGCCATTATATTGGAAAGTGTGATTGTTTGATTTTTAAACGATAACTTATTTACAGATTTATTACATTAGGTACCTATTTATATTTTACTGTTGTGTTTACGTCATATGTTTTTAAATTGTTATTTTTAATATATATGACCTAGATATGACTTGTCAAATTGACCTGTGAACATTAAACCAGTGAAGTTAGAAAATTGAAACTTTTAATATAGGTGACAAAATACGTGAGATATTGCTATAAGTACTTGTATAGTAGAGCAATTTGATCTTTTCTAATACCATTTTCTAAAAATATTATTTAGTAGGAACTATATTAATAAAGTCATACATTTACGCACTTAATCACTCAATTTCAAGTTAATTTAATGAGCATTTTAATTGCCTAAATAATTCCATTACATCACAACATTATATTAACAAGTCGGTACGATACTATAATCACGTGTTTCCTAGTTTAATAACCCGATTAATATTGTTTATTAAACATAAGTGTGTCATTCGCAATTCACATATACAGACATATAAATTCTAGGTTGAAAATTGTTAGAATATTCATAGTGCAGTTGCAACGAATCCCAATATGGTAATAGGTGCATTGCGTAGCTCGCCGGCACAGACGGGCGTCTGGACAATTCCGGTGGACCAGTTTCGTAAGACTGCATAGAAAAGTGTAAGCTATTGAAAGTTACAACGATTTATACGTTAGTAAACAATAACGGTTTTCGTTTTTATTATCAATTTTGTAACAATAAAAGTGTTATAATTTATGTCCTTAAATGTTCAAGGTGATATGCACAATAGTTGCTAAATAATTTTTGTGATATTAAAATGTTTGTTTGATTTATGTAGTTTTAGATTTGTAATATTTTTATTTACTTTTGGGTTTCTATAGATAATTATTGTACATAGTTTATTTACTTTGTTTCACACTAGTTTCTGACAACAAATTTTCTTTTAACTCTAGGTGTTTAAAAAAATACATGTCCAGTTTTCTTGAATAGTTACATAGAATAGAATGATCGTTTTATTAAATGATTAATTGTTGTAATAATACAGTAAAATGATTAAAAATAATTGAAAAGCGCTAATATGTTTTCAAAAAATCTAAAAGGAAAACTATATTCTATTCCAAGGATAAAAATATATTCCTGAAATAGAACATAACGAAGAAAACTTTTTAGAATACCTTATAATTTTTAATGTACATAAAATATAAAAACATTACATACAGTCGCTAGTCTGTAATGACATAAATTGTGACATCAGGCATACGTAGAGTTCGCCATATGTACACGCCTTCGGCAGGAGGCCTTACCTGAGGTCACATATCAAGTTCAGGTGCTTATTCGTTCTAAACCAGTTGGACTGGTGAATATGACATGTGCATGTGCTTTACCTTACGTAATGATTAAAGTTGTGTTTCATGCGTTTCCTTTGTCACTTCCTATTGAAGGAATGTCGCTATTCCTATTGTATTTTTTTTTTATTACTTGTCATGGATATAAAGGTTATTTTTTAGGATGTCTGCCTGTATTTGTGGGTACATCTCTTTGTAATACTAAATCTCAATACTATGCAATTATATATTTTTGAGAGAGCTCTTGATGTATTAAAACATTCATTGGAATAAAAAAAAGATTAGAGATATTTGTATTTCGTTGTTCAATTGTATTTTTCATATATTTATGATATGACATACCTTTTCTAACAATGAAATTAATATGGTATTATTTTAATAGATATAACCATAATTTTTGAAATACTGAGCCTCTGTATAGAATCAGTATTGCTAAGTGAACGACAATTATAAAGTTTATTTTATTTTTATTTTAGTAATAACGGAAGAAATATGGCTCATTCTTGGGTATTGAATAAAATAAAATTTTTCACCACTAATTTTTATTATCTCGAATCAAGACTTAGTGTTATAATTTGTGGTTTCTTCCATGCACATGTTATAATTTCGTCAATGCTTAAGTAATATAGAGCATGTGTATTGGGCATAACGATTTGAAAGTACGCAAGGCCGTTGAAGACCAAACGCTGTTGTGGTTTATAATCACAATAGATTGATTGGTTATACGATCAAATAAATGATAGGTTACGTGTTACTTAATTGTATCAGTCAATTTGAAGTCAATAAATTAAGTATTATTAAAATTTCTTCACAACATTTAAAGTATATCGTATTGATAGATATTATAAGTTGGCAATTACATTCTTTTTTGTTTTTCGGTTGCACGATTATATTTACTGAAAGTCTATTGTAATTGTTTCAAATATTTCTAGCAATAATATGATCGATAATGGGCCTATATGTAGGTATGATTAGTATATAATTACATTGTTTTAATTATATATTATTAATACTACGAAACTTAATGGAGTTACCTTCGGCCTTCTCTTCTTAGCTTAATTACAAATCCATATCATAACCACTCGACCAACCAACTTTGCATTATTTTATCGAGGCTAGAATTTGTACAAAATCGTTGTGTGAGCCTTATGGCTATTACTATTTCTGCCTGTAGCTGTTTTGCAAGACATCTTTGTAATAAAGGGGTTAGATAGATAGATCGGTACGAAATTTTATTTTATTTGTATTTTTTATATTAAAATTTGAGCACGTTTGATCGCATAAGCTCAAATAGTGCCTATTCACTCTTGACTTGAAAGACCCAATGTACTAATTTGTTTGTTACTAATTAATAATAATATCACAGAACATGGAGACATAGATTTGTATAATAATCATATATAATATATAATTCATATTGTATATATATAAAAATTGTATTATTTGTATGTAAATAGTTCGAACTGAATAACAAGTTTGTAAGTAATAAAATTAACAGAAAACACATTACAACTTATCTTTATTTTCATTAAAATCTTTATTTAATACGTATTAAACTAAGTAGTCTAAACATTTACTATTGTTTCGTTCAATTATAGAGATTGTCTTTCTTGTCTTTTAACTTACTGGTTAAGAAATCCATTGAAAGGTTAATACTCCTTCAGTTATATTGTTTCCGCTTAGGTCAATGTCAAGTTCATTAACATTAATTTTTGTATGGACAAGTTATAATTGATCAAGGTTAGTAAAGCTACATACAAAGTTTGGGTCATAATTATATATAGAAATAGAAATAGAAATAGAAATAATCTTTATTCAAATAAACTCATTACAAGCACTTTTGAATAGTCATATTTTGATTCTACCACTCATTCGGAATGCAGATTCATCACAAGAAGAATGAGCAAGAAACTTGTGTGTTGCTCTTTTTAATAGATGTTTTTTTTTATATATAAATAATTACAGTATAACAAGTAAGAGGCATGCGATAATCAACATAGAAGTCGCTACGCACTCATTATTAATGTAATCAGATAATATTGTCAGTGCTATGGATTTAAAGTTTTTCTATAAAAACATTATTATCGTTAACGAATTCTTCAATTTTATAGTAAGCTTTTTTGCAAAGGAACTGTTTTATTTGACATTTAAATCTTTTTTCTGGCAGATTTATAACATACTCTGGTATTTTATTGTAAAACCTTACGCAATTGCCATAAAACGAATTACTAACTTTAGCCAAACGACATTTAGGTAAAATCAGTTTGTTATTGTTACGTAAGCTTTTATTAGTGCAATCACTAACTCTTTTGAATCTGTCTATATTCCTTCTGGCATAGATGATATTTTCATAAATGTATTGAGAAGCAACGGTGAGGATATTTGATTCCTTAAAACACTCTCGCAATGACTCCCTGGAACCCATACCATAAATGGAGCGAATGGCCCTCTTTTGTAAAGTAAATATTGTATTTATATCAGCTGCTTTGCCCCATAACAAAATACCATACGACATAATGCTATGGAAATAGCTAAAATAGACAAGTTTAGCCGTTGCCACGTCTGTTAATTGTCTAATTCTTCTTACCGCATAAGCGGCAGAACTAAGTCGACTCGCCAATTTAGTAATATGAGCACCCCATTGCAACTTGGAATCTAATATACCTAGAAATACAGTATCGTCAATAAACTTAATAGATTTATTGTCCAATACGATTTTTGAATCTACCGGCCTTACATTGGGGAGATAATTTGATACATTTAGTTTTATTTGCATTTAGTAGCATATTATTTGCCGTAAACCATTTTAAAACATAAGAGAGAGAACCGTACTATATCATCAATATGTCGATTGACTTTGAATACTAATGAAGTATCATCAGCAAACAGAACTATGTCAGCTATCTTTTCTACCATATAAGGAAGATCGTTTATGTAAACTAAAAATAAGAAAGGACCCAGAATAGAGCCCTGAGGAACACCCATTTTAATACTAGTTCCCTCAGACTTTACACCATTTATTTCAACAACTTGCATTCTATTATTTAGATAGGATTTCATCATGCATAGTGCTTCATATCTAATACCGTAATGTTCTAATTTGAGTAAGAGTGTTTCATGATCAACGCAATATACATATATACATACATGTACATCTTTTCTATTTTCAATTTTGTGTGTAAATGATTGATTATTGAATCCACTTTTCTATTGTTATTTAGTGAGTCTATTTTTTATAATTTGACATGTATTTGTTTTTACCTGACTAGGGAGAAACAAGTGCGGATTATGATCTTGGTATCTTGATTAGGATATTGGTGATGTATGATTGTTATTATGTTCATAAGTTCCCTCGTAACTGCCAAACTACTTATCAGAATTTTGATACGTTGGAAGCGATTTGGTTACCTGCTGCTAAAGTTATTTGATACTTGATATTTATTGTAATTATTATAATTCAGAGTATTTTATGTTTGTTACAGGCGATGGTGTTGTGCGCGTGTTTAGTATTAAGCTCGGCACAGTATGGCTTCGAGGACTACTCAGCCGATTACCTCACTAGTTTCGGGTCTCCAAACTTCAACAGCCTATCAGCCGCAGGAGCGAGAGACCCTAGAGCTAACACGGGTAAATATAAAACCTTATTATATATAACAAAGACTTAATAATTTATTTAAAACAAATATGGACAATCGTGGGAATATGCGGAATAAAATAATTATAATATATGACGATATAGAATCAATTTTTAAGAGCATTGAATACTAGAAATGTCATATATTTCAAAAACATTCGAATAGGAATCTTTAATTTGTATATAGAGTATATTCATTTTTAAATACTATGAAAATATACACGTCGTTTCAATGCTTACTACCAAAATATATGAAATAAATATATAGAAATCACGAGCCAAATATAATATAATAGATAAATAACATATTAGTTTAATTTGGTTATGGTTTCATACATTTTAAACAATAAATTCTCACATAGCAGGTTTTCTTAATATATTGGTCAATTATACAAGAAAATGCAATATGCAATTGAAAATTATGATCTAAACACATATTTTAACGCTCCTCATAAATATACAAAGTGGCAATTATACGTGTAATAAATTCTTATACGAGGTAACAACTCGTCTATTTATATTTCTAAATCTTTTGAAAGTTGACGCGCACATCGTGTAGTGTAAAATCATTTCCGTAAGATTGTACTTACAACAAGTGCAATGGCAAACCATTGTCATTTATTCTATATTTAACGACAACATATCGCCACAACTGTTACACCAGATGGGATGGACAGAGGAATTGTAGATGTCGACGTTAATGCAATACTTAATGCGACCATATTTCGCTGGGTATACGCGTATTTGATTGGAACGTGGCATAGGACGAGCCTATCGCCGAAATCATTTCAAAATTAATTCTGTAATGATTGTACTTATTATTGTAGGGATATTTTAATTTTATTTAGTACGAGCTCTATCCTAAGATAAAAAATATTACAATAAGTTATTACATTGCTTCTTTATATTATTAGTATAGGTTAGTTTTAGACGAGACGGTATAGTTGTACAATATTATAGTTGTACAATAGTAGTACAATATTTACATTTAATATTATATCTTAAGTTTCATTTAACATATAGATGAAAAGGAATGATGAAATTCCTATATACAATTTAGTTACAACTAAGAAAATGGTTGGATAAACAATTACCTAAAAACTTAATTACACGCTATTTAAATTGGCTAGAATTTCCATTTCAATTGCAATCGATGAGTCTAGGTCTATACCTAGATAGCGATTGGTAGAAAACTGGCTAGTTCTGTCGAACTATTAGTAGATAGATATCTTGGAAAAATTTCTAAAGAAAATTATGGTCTTATTAAGTAGTCGTATATAAATTTAAACTTGTACTACTACTATACTTACTTTTTAAATAAATAAACCAACAAGAGAAGAATTCATATGTTTTCATTTAATATTTTCAATATTATTTCATATTAAATACCTACAAAAATACTGTCTACAAGTATAGTATATAAAAAAATGTCGAAATCAGAACCTTCTCATTTAGGCAGTGTGTTGAAAATAAGTGGTCAAAATTGTGGTTAATTTGGGGATTTTACCGGATATAATTCGTTTCCTTACGAGTCAACCTCTAAAAAAGGATACTAATGTACCTATATTCGTTGAAGTTTTTTATCTGAACGAATAATATTATATATAATTTTAATAAAGAAATAAATGAAGCAAAAAAGATAATAATTAATTTACAAATTACTTGAAAACGCCACGATTGCAACAGTAATGTTACTTTTCAATTTTCATGTTGGTTTAAGCCGATGAGCCAGAGAGTAACGAAATTAAACTTGCATTAATTAATTACTTATTTGATTGATTTCTAAATTCACCATCCATTTCTATAAATAAGAAGTAAAATGATTAATTAGAAACTATACAAATGAATTTAGAAATGTTATTTACTCTTTAATTATATGATTATTCAGCTTGTATGTTTTTATACCTATATTTATATATAAGAGGAAAACCCGTTTACTTATTGAGTCCCTCATGAGTCATCAGGAAGCCTCAAAATCAAGTACGTTGACTTATAAAGAAGAAATCACCACTTCCTTGAGAAATAACGGATTTCGCAAGGTTCAAATTTATCTTACTGGCCGCTATATTTTGAGATAGTAGTAGCTCTCCCGAATACGAACTATCTTCATGTCAATTTTCGTTCAAATCCGTTCATCCGTTTGGTCGCAAAAGAGTAACGAACAGGCAAATAGACGTACTTTTGAATGTAATATGTAACTATACTTTCTTAGACAGCATATTTACTCTAATTATTTCAATCTACACAAACTTGACTGAACAAAAATGAGATAACGTGTAACGCGTTGAATGATTTATACTTCGGGAAACAAAATTCTGACGCGACGATATTACCTAATGTCGATTCTTTAGGTATTATGTATTTTGTGGTTTAGGAGTCATTCACATGATCCTTGACTTTGGGTTACCCCGTCATAGCCGCAAACATTCTAAAATACAAAAAAAAATTAGACCAAATATAAATTTGGAATTTTGCTGCTTGGAGATGGTGTTGCGGTTTGAACGACATATCCTTTTTCTTATCCTTCATCTAATTCAATCTTAATAATTAGTTGCATGTCAACGTAGTTATTGGGTATGGAAGTACACTGTATTAGTTTTTAGGAACTTAGCAACGGTTACTGTGGTATATTTAATAATATTAAATAAAAATAGAAAGGAAATAATCTTCGTTCAAATAAATTTATTGTTCAAATAAATTTATTACACTCATTCGGAACGCAGATTCGTCACAAGAAGAATAAGCGAAAACTTGCGCGTTGCTCTTTTAATTAAATGTTGTTTTAAGTAAATATACATTAACAAGGATTCGGCATATGACAATCAAAATAGAAACCGCTACGTACTCAATCTTTATTCAATCAGATAACATTGTCAGTGCTGTGAATTTTATATTACATTTTTTCTAAAAAAATATTATATTTACTATTATTTGTAATAAACTATATATTACCCGCGATTTCGAGTACATAATATTTCATCCCCTATTTCACCCTTTCTAGGTTATATTTTGAAACTAAGAAACAGTCTATCTCCGTCATTGTGATAGAATCTGCCCTCGTGTCAAATTTTACTAAAATACACCAAATCATTTTAACTGTTTACAAACAGACAGAATCTTAGAATAAAAAACGTGTTAATATCGTAATTTTCCTACACAAGATATTTTACTACAATTATTAAACGATTATACAGGTCTTACAAGCTGTAGTTATTTGCTTCCGCGATATTGAATTTTAAATATAGACTAACATAATTGGTGGCTCCATTTGTCAATCAGTGTCATGCAACGTGAGATCATTGGTTATATTAATCCGATATAGATAGGAGAAATTAAAATAGTCTACTCCAGTATAGCGATAAAGCTCTGATTAATAAAAATGTACATATAAAATATTTGTCATATATGGGTTTGCTCTAAAGGTCGAAATAAAATGAATGCATTTCGTTTTAGCCGTCATTTTTAATTGTGGTTATTATATTTTGGATAATCAATACAGCGCCTCTAGTCCCATAGTTAACAGAACTTGTGATATGGACACTAGACAACTGATATAAATACTTAGACATTTTTTGTAAATATATATAAAACACCCAGTCTGATACAAACAACCATACTCAGGAATGTTTGCATAGTGCGAGGAATCGTACCCGCGCCTATCGGAAGGAAAACGGTGCGGTGTGCTAAACCACTAGGCTGTAACCACATACACATTGCTACATTATTTGTTTTTAGCCCTATCAGTCATCGTAGGTGGCTTATCTAAACAAATAAATATTCAATCACATAGCGGTAACTTAAAATATTTCACAATACAGTCGAAAAAGGTTTGGCGGTGACCATGGTTAGTGTTAGACCGTATAGATTCGTATCTTGACGTTTACGCGCACTTTATGGAACTTTACAATTACGTAAACTCTGTCAGTTATGGAGCTCAAATGTCATTGTTACAAACGTAATTTGGTAGTTTCCTAATGCGAGATAATTTCTACTGGGTGCGGTAGTGTTCAGTAGGGATTGACGTGGGAGGGAATCAACGTTAGTACATGTCCGTTTGTACTTAGTGATGCCAGATTGAAGCTTTTCCCCAAATGTGGGAGGATTTTTAGGCAATAGGGGAATGAATGTGTAGAATTGTGTAGAAAAATATTAAGTAGTGAGTTTTGCAGGGTTTACTACGTTTATTGTAATATTATGTTATCTGAGCGTTTATCTATATCTTATATAACAAGAACATAAGCCTGGCTAAAATTAAAAAGAACAATAGAACAACAGACCTAAAAAATATTGTCAAGATTATAAATTCTTAATTTATTTTAATTTTTGGAGGATTTTACACCATAACACACATTTGGGAGGCATTTTGGACAAAATATCAAATAGTCATATGGCAACTCTGTTTGTACATTACGTTAGTTCCATTCGTATAATTAATTCGCAAGATATTTCGTTAAGCAGCTGTCTTAGATGAACAGACAAATTAAGTTTTTGCAACTGTAGTGCGAGAATGATTGATGTAGCACTAATTTGTAGCAATAATTTGCTTTTGTATAGTGCGTAGGGATGTGAATAAAAATCGAAAACGGAAAATTAGTTTAACGTTTAATCCTATTTTTCACTGATAGTTTCACCTACGTATTCCAAAAAGAGAACGACAAAGTCTATAAAAAATAAGACCATCAAAACAAAAAAACCAAAAATTAGTGTTCACTGAAAATTATACATGATAGAAAAATTTGCTATTATTAGAAAATCGATGTCTCTAGGTAATCGATTTATTTATGCTAATAATAATATAATCGATTTTTCTAAAGAACACATCCCTAATGGTCTGATGTGCGGAAAAGTAAATGGATTGTTTATAGTATGACCTTATGATTATGTATTAATGCATTTAATGGCCCAAGGGCTAGGCCCTTTTTCTTGCGACATCAGTATTTAAATGATTTTAATAGGTAAGGTTTATGTTTTATTTTGTTACATTATTGCGCTA